TTTACCTTTAATCTTCGTCGGTTTCTCTTCGATGGTCATCAAGTGGTAGGCGAACGTAAACACTTTGTATGCGCATGTGGAAAAAAGAAACAAAAAAGGAAGAAAAAACCAAAAAACAAGAAAGGACAGTGTACACGTACGAGTCAGTCAGAAAAAAGCACGGTCTCCAGCTATCAATCTTTGTCACCAATTTCCTCCTGGCTTTTTGGTTCCCTCTCACTCTCGCAAACATCTTTCAAGGCGAGAGGGACGCGGCAGCAACGAAGTTTGGAAGTTCATGTCAGTATAACTCATCCCCTGATGAAGGAAGGACCCCTCCCGAAACTGTTGGGAAATAAATATATTTATCCTTGTTGACAACGCTCCGTTGTGCCATATCCATATATATATATTATATATTATATATATATATATATATATATATCTATATATATATATATATATATATATATATATATATATATATATTTAATACTGTAAGCCTTTCTCAGGCTCATACAGGGTGGGCGAGCAAATATACACAGTCGCGTACAAACCAGGCAATATCGCACATAGCGGAAGAAACGGAATCACAAGATGATGGTGAAAATAAAACTTGTACGATGAAAGCAATTGTACAAAATCATGGACAGGACACAAAACATCAAGGTATCAGCAGGGGGTACTGTGATCAGTGTGTTCGGAAGCGCTCACAAACATTAAAAAAAAAAAAGTTGCTTTTAGTCTTCATAAAACAGGCTTTCTACATTCCGAACAAATGAATCTACAAAGGAAGCGCTCACAAACATAAAAAAAAACAAAAGTTGCTTTTAGTCTTCATAAAACAGGCTTTCTACATTCCGAACAAATGAATCTACAGAGGAATAATTAACGCATTCACGTGGCAATTTGTTCCACTCTTCCACTGCTGACGGGAAGAATGAATATTTAAAAGTGTCACAGCGTGACATAAATGGTCTAATGCACTTATTGTGGTTGGTACGACGGGAGTGATGGTTAGGCGGCTTTATATAGTTGTCTTTATCTATGTTTAAACCGTTGTGATACAAAAGAAAAATAAACTTTAAGGAAGAGACACGGCGACGGGCTGCAAGGGTCGGCATGCATGCACGCCTGCGCAGCTCAGTGACACTGTCATGCCTCGAATACTTAGAATAGATAAAGCGAAGGGCCTTGCGTTGGACCATTTCTAATTTGTCGGAAAGATATTTTTGGTGGGGGTTCCAAAAAATGCTGGCGTACTCGAGGATCGGCCTTATGAGAGATTTATATGCTATCATCTTTACATTAGGAGGCGCCAATGCAAGTTTCGACGCAGGAACCCCAGCTGGCGATAGGCTTTTGTGTATGTGCTGCTTATATGTGCATCCCACTTCAGTTTACTTATAAAGGTAACGCCCAAGTATTTAACAGCGTCGTTTTTTGCAATGTTTGTGCCGACCAAATTGTAACTAAAATGCTGGATTGTTTTTCTGCGAGTTATGCTAAGGCAAGCTGTTTTTGACACGTTAATTTCCATTCCCCACTCAAGACACCAACATGCAATATTAGCTAGTGTGGTATTAAGTCTAAGCTGGTCATCAGTTGTGCGGATAGTGGTGTAGATCACGCAGTCGTCGGCGAATAATCTCATTTTAACGTTAGGCTCAAAGCACATATAGATATCATTAACATATATTAGGAACAAGGTGGGTCCTAAAACAGAACCTTGTGGTACTCCGGAAAAAACTTCCAATGAATCAGAGGCTGTGTTGTTTACGGTTATATACTGGCTTCGATTTGATAGATACATTTTTATCCATGCTATTATGTTACTGTTAATACCAATAGACACAAGTTTGTCAATCAATTTACTGTGAGGCACCTTATCAAAAGCTTTGGCGAAGTCTATAAATATGGAGTCGGTTTGCAATTGTGAGTTAATAGTAGTTACGAAGTCATGCGTTATTTCCAAGAGTTGAGTAAGAGTAGACAGGTTTTTACGGAATCCGTGTTGGTTTGGGTGCAATAAGTTGTTGTCTTCTAAATAAGTAATTATTGCCTTGTTGATTACATGTTCCAATAATTTACAGCAGCAGCTAGTTAGCGAGATAGGCCTGAATGTTTCTATGGACAGCTTGCTCCCGCCTTTATGAATTGGTATAACCTTTGCACACAACCAGTCGGCAGGTATATATATATATATATATATATATATATATATATATATATATATATATATATATATATATATATATATTGTTAAACATGGTAAACTTATTGCACTTAGAGCTCTAAAATGATGTATGTTTAAAAATGTGTGACTGTCAAGTGCTAAAAAAATGCTAATTTTCTGCTCAAAACTGCGGTTTTAGCTGCTCCAGATTGTGCACCAAATTGCTTAGGATTGATTTCATCGCTAATAAACCCCACCATTTAATATGACTCTATGCTGGGCATGTGCTAGTTCGTAATTTCATTTTTCAAAGACAAGCAATAAAAGTGAATTATATTGTATTGCAGATCCTGCCTAACCATTTTTGAAATTTTAGACACCAATACACCGAAACTCAGAGTTACAATTGTTGACGTAGATAGTCGAAGTAGATAAGAAACAAGGCTAGAAGCAGATCAGAAACAATGCTTTCCACCAGTACGGAAGCAGCAAATCTGGGCCTTTTGCCCGATAGCGGTTAGCGAATATCAGCACAAAAGATGTTCATCTGCAGCAGTGCCTATATTTGAAAGAATCCCCCTGTTGAGCTGGTTCGATACCAGCCTAGTTCGTTTTTATTGAGTGCACTTGTTTGTTGATATTAGTGGGTTTTGGGCCTTCCGTACACTTTTCATGCATCTTCGATATACAGTGATTCTCTTCTGTTTGCTTTAACTAGCCTCAATTTTTAATCCTTACTTCTCATATGCGAGGACATTATTATGCTGTATAAGTCAATTTTTGACATGGAATCTCACACTGCTTTCTGTGATTTCTCTGCTCATATCTTTTTACTTTGTTTATGATCAACCAGCTGTGTGTTAGTACTTTTTGCTTGCTTTTCATTAACCAGCTATGTAATTCAACAATTACTTTGCCACGTGCAGTGGCGAATGCTGTCACATGCAGCACTAAGGTTCCGTATACAGTAATTTCTCAGATGTATTTTCATGTTGTTTAATTACTTTTTTCGTTTTAAATTCACTCTTGCTCAAGACCGGCAGTGTGTACGAGATAACTAAAAAACAAAAAGAAGTGAATTAGATGTTCAGGCTCACGTCTGTGCTTACCAAGTGGTATCGTAAGTCTGGTGCTACCTCTAAGGCAACAATAATATTCATGAACAATTTCTCGGGGGAGTTCATGCTAGATAAATAACATATTATCATTCAAAAAATCACTAGGAGAAAGATTAAACTAACTGAGCTTTGGACGATCTGTAAAAAAAGCTACATTGGGTGGACTGTGTATTCGCGTGAACTAGGCGAGAAAAGAGACATTTTCAGAAAAAAGTATTGATTGATTGATATGTGCGTTTTAGCATCCCAGAACGTCCATATTGTAATGATAGACGCCGCAGTGCAGGACTTCAATAATTTTGACCACCTGGAGTTCTTGAACGTGCACCCAAATCTAGGCACATGTGCCTACAGCATTTTCGCCTCCATCGACAATGCAGCCACCACAGCCGGGATTCAATCCCACAACCTGCGAGTCAGCAGCTGAATGTCTTAGCCACTAGAACCACCACGGTGAGGCTTAAACAAAGAGTAGGAGGACATATCTTTCTGTGAATGGCGAACTGGTGCAATTTCATGCAATCCGTGCAAGGTATTAGAACGCGCAATTTGCTCCAAAATTTAACCGTGACCGCTTCACATATCGTGGTGTTTTGATCCTGCTTCTAGTAAATGATCATCCAAGTTTGGCTGCTCCATGGTATGTTAAATTGAGGTCAGAAGTGTCATTTAATGTGATCATGACATTATGTCTCCCTTAGATAACATGCAATCTGAAGTACTGTTATTTCACATGATCATTTCTTTCAAAACATGTCAAAGTCTAGGAAACCTATTAGCAGTTACTGGATTTGTGGACTAATTGGTTTGAAAACACAGTGAAGTGACAAATGGCACGAAAGGACACAACAAAAAAAGTCATGCATGTGCAGTGACTCACAAATTATTTCATTTTCAGAATTACATAAAATATAAAGCAGCTTATTTTTGAACGAGTGAGCGTGTTTGTCTCCTGTCTATTTTCATACCGTGTATTATTTCACCAATTTCTTGCTAGTTTTTTTTTTCTTGGAAAGCAAATTTTCTGCAGTTCATTTGTGGATATTTGTATCAACAGCATTTTTGTGTAATATAGAGACAGTAAAAAAAATGCGTACAATATTTCCAATAACTGTGTTTGCAAATACCACGTGTGTCTGTATTGTACAACTATCTTTTTGAATTCAGTAGCCATGTTTTTTCGTTTCACAATACATTTTTTTTAAATATTCAGGTTGCATGGACAACAGTGGACACTACTACTTGCACTGCATGTTTTATTCAACATAACAGAGATATGCATTATGTGACATGTACCGTTTCCCTGCTTCATAATTCTTTTTTTTTCGTAACAGCTCAAACAATTTTGAACGTTAGATTACCCATCAGTCTGGGAGGGACAACTGCGCTACCTACTGTTTAACGTGGCAAGGCCCACGCTATGCGCATTTCAGTGTCCTTCTTAAATGCAGAGTTGCATCTGGGGAACGCCTAGACTCCAACCGCTCTACTCTACTACATGAGTTACATGAGCACTGTGCGCGTTAACAGCGCGCAAGCTGGCAGTGAGTCGCGTGATATAAAGAGAGATAAGGTGGCGAAGGACCCTTGAGCGAACACGCGGCGTAGCGAGAAACAGCACACCGTCACAAAACAACTAACGTTGAAACAAGTTTGTCTCGTCTTAGTTTACGCGCGGAGCACAGAAGACCACAGCGTAAATTCCACGTGTGATACAACCCAATTACCTTAAAACAGCTGACATCCGGAGTAGTGCAAGTGGTGCGTCTTCTTAGCCGGCCGGCAGCCCACATGAACGCGTAATGAATAAAAAATCGGAGGACACCAGCTGCGTAAGAACACAACTCGTTTCAGCGACACCGTCAGCGAAAAGCCCACACGTTTCGGTGCAATTTCCATGGCGTACGGCTTCAAGAAGCTTCACTAGCATATTGCAAAACTAGCATTATGCTAACGCACGGTGCTAACGTCTATGTACGCCGCCATCTTGCATAAAAAGAAACAAAAACAACCAGAAGTGCGTTTCGATCAGGTGATTGTTTTCAGCCAATAGTGGCGCCAAATTTTTTTTATACATCTCTTGGGATATGATGCGGAAACACGCTTCCTGGCGGGTGACAGCGCCTTAGTCACTTCGTATTGAAGATGTCAAGAGCGTTTGCATTAGGAGCGCGCGCGTCGTACCCTGTTAAAGAATGTAGTTGTTCGTTTTCAGCACGTTGAAGCATTCTTGAACCTATAAGTAAATATGCAGGCGTGTGAAAACTGCATACACTGTCGTCTGTCTTTTTCCCCTTTTTGACTGCATAGTATCTTTTCTGAATCGAGAAACTACACGTTTCACAAGCTTGCCGACCCGCCACAGAAAAAAAAAAGCACAATCATAACTTGCACGTATTCATCTAGCCGCTCATTCCCCCATGTTGTGCGGTTTGAAAGCAGTGCTTTTAGCCTTGCTACATAAGTGGCTATAGCGGCGAGCTACAAATAAGGGAAAACTATGAAAATCGCGATGACAGCATAGTTTAGGTACTCCTCGCCAGGGGCAAATCCAGCCACTATTTTTTTTTTTCCAGGGAAGGGGGGTCGCCAAAAGTAATACCGGTGAGGTGGCCGTGGTCATGACTTTTCCATTTTTGCTAGCCACCTACCCCCCACAGCATAAATACTATTAACGTGTGCTCACAGAGGTTTCACCCATTTGTTCTAATTAGTGATGGGAGGTGGACTACGATTACTGAAGTTAAAGGTGAAGGGGTGCTGACACAGACTTTAGGGATGGGGGAGCGATCGTTTTTACCGCCCCCCTCTGGATCAACCGCTGCTCCTCGCTCGTTTTGTCGGCACTCCTTACGATATCCAGAGCACTGATTCTTATATGAGTCCACATGCGCTTGATTGTTTTCCGAGAAATCCTTGTGCAAGTAGGTTTGATCGATTTTTGGGGTTTGGTGTCAGAAAACCACCATATGATTATGAGAGACACCGTAGTGGAGGGCTCCGGAAATATCGACCACCTGGGGTTCTTTAACGTGCACACAAATCTGAGCACACCGGCCTACAGCATTTTTGCCACCATCTAAAATACAGCCGCTGTAGCCGGGATTTGATCCCGCGACCTGCGGCTCAGCAGCCGAGTACCTTAGCCACTAGACCACCGCGGTGGGGCAGCTCAAGTAACTTTGTAACAACATATATATCGGTGACAACTCACTTATACAAATATTGTGCGAGTTTTTCGGAGGATCAAAATGCTTTTTGAAAAGATTATCTTGTTTTAACCGCGTGCTTTCGCGCTTACTGTGCATCGGTTATGCAAGCCATACCAGAAGGGGAATGCGTTTACTTTTGAGTCACGAAGTCTACGCGAAAGGGGCTATTTTAAGCACATCAACAGACGTAGTTGTATCTATAGCCCGTCTGTTATTCTGCCTAAATTCATTATAACCAGTTCTGCTTTCCCATTGACAGAATATCACGCTGCTTTCCAACTCATCTATGCCATTCGCCCTAGGTGTCAGAAGTGTAGGAAGGTGGTGCGCGCATATATATATATATATATATATATATATATATATATATATATATATATATATATATATATATATATATATATATATATATATATATATAGTGGGAGTAATAATTCAATGGGCCAGTTAGTCTTCTTGAAGGTATGGGATATGGCACAACGGGGGCGTTGTCAACAAGGATAAATATATTTATCCTTGTTTACAATGCTCCCGTTGTGCAATATCCCATATATATATATATATATATATATATATATATATATATATATATATATATATATATATTGTTGCGAGTGACTGTGTTTATTTACAGATGAGGTGAAAAGACGTTGTGAAATAGCAGCGTACTTCTGGGACAGGCCAAGAACGCTTCCACCCAACCACACAGTCCAGGCGCAACCACACAGTCCAGGCGCAGCTCCACTACTCTTCTTCTTCTTCCGCGTCCCGTAGGCTCGCGCATCTTCGTTTCATTTCCCCCGGCGGCAGACGAAGCTCGCCGAGCGAGTTAAATAGGCCTATGATGGTACTGTTTGAGGCGGGCTACGTGAACAACTTGCGTAGTGCGCGAACGCCGGTTATTGGCTGTGACTCGGGCGACAACGTAATTCACGTCACTGAGACGAGTGACTATCACGAATGGGCCGGAATAGTTCGCTAGAAACTTCCGGTACAATCCTTTTCTACGAACAGGAGTCCACAGCCACACGTAGTCACCAGGAGAAAACTCTACGGGGATATGCTTGGCATCGTAGCGACTCTTGCTGTGTTCTTGCGAAGACAATGTTCGAAGGCGCGCTAGTTGACGTGCTTCTTCAGCGCGACACAACGTCTGAGCGATGGACAGATCTTCCTGATGCGAGAAAGGTAATAGAGTGTCCAGAAAACTTTGTGGATTTCGTGCGTAAAGCAGAAAGAAGGGTGAATGTCCAGTAACTTCATGCTTGGCGGTGTTATACGCGTAAGTAACAAACGGTAAGACGGCGTCCCAGTTCCTGTGGTCAGCATCAACGTACGTCGATAACATATTCGTGAGAGTTCGATTTGTTCTCTCAGTGAGACCGTTAGTTTGCGGATGGTAAGGGGTGGAGTGGCGATAAGAGGAGCCACAGAGGCGCAAAATTTCTTCAACCACATCGGCCATAAATTGTCGTCCACGGTCACTGATGACAACCCGTGGAGCACCATGACGCAGTATGACCCGTTGTAACAGAAAAGAAGAAACAGCGGCTGCTGTGGCCGATGTCAGTGCGTCCGTTTCCGTATAACGCGTTAAATAATCCACGCACACTATAACGTATCGGTGGCCCGATGGAGTCTTAGGAAGGGGTCCGAGCAAGTCGATGCCGACTTTTTCAAAAGGGGATGTCGGTGGAGGGATGGGCTGCAAATAACCCGCCGGGGCAGTGGTGGATGGCTTGTGGCGCTGACATATAGCGCAGCTGGTGACGTACTGTTTTGTGGTCTTCCACATTTTTGGCCAGTAGAACCTCTCACGTAGTCGATGCAGCGTACGTGTGAAACCGAGATGACCAGATGTTATGTCATCGTGCGCAGAACGAAGGACGACCTGGCGCAGGCTTTCCGGCACCACTAGAAGCAACGGGAGGCCATCGGCTGAATAGTTTCTTTTATACAGCAAGCCATTTGAAATTTTAAAGCGCTTGTCGACGGAGTTATGTTGCAGCTTCGAGCAAAGGTTTCAGAGTAGGGTCGCGCTGCTGCTCACGTTTGAAGCTGCTGGTATCTGGGAAGTCGGACGAGACAGAAACTAAATAGTCATCAATGTCATTGTCGTCAGCATTGGTGTGCACTGAAGGAAGGCGGGATAAGCAGTCGGCATCTGTGTGACATCGTCCGCTCTTATAGGTAACAGAAAAGCTGTACTCTTGGAGGCGCAACGCCCAACGAGCCAGCCGGCCAGACGGGTCACGAAGTCCCACAAGCCAGCATAGTGAGTGGTGATCGGTCACTATTGTGAACTCGCGGCCATGTAGATACGGTCGGAACTTCTGAATGGCGAAGACGACTGCTAAGCACTCGAGCTCGGTGACGGTGTAGTTCGTCTCTGCTCTGGTCAGTGTCCGACTGGCATATGCTACGACGTGCTGGCGACTGTTGCAGAGTTGGACCAGCACAGCACCAACACCTAGCCCACTAGCATCAGTATGAAGTTCAGTCAAAGCATCAGGATCAAAATGCTTTAGGATGGGTCCTGAAGTCAATAAAAACTTCAGCTGTTGAAATGCAGCCTCACATTTATCATCCCACAAGTACGGTGTGTCTTTATGAAGAAGGGACGTCAGTGGGGAGGCAAGTTGTGCGAAGTTCTTAATAAATCGGCGGAAATATGAGCACAGACCCAGAAAACTTCGCAGGTCCTTCACTGTTCGTGGTGGTTCAAAGTTGCGAACCACTGCGGTCTTCTGTGGGTCTGGTCGCACGCCTTCTTTATCCACGAGAAAGCCTAATACGAGGGCTTGACGTTCTCCAAAACGACACTTCTTTGAGTTTAAAACAAGGCCAGCTTCGCGTAAGCATTCAAACACAAGCGACAAGCGCTGGTTATGCTCTTGAAAAGTCTTGCCGTAGATAATCACGTCATCTAAATAGCACATGCAAATTTCCCATTTTAGTCCACGGAGTACTGTATCCATAAATCTCTCGAATGTCGCTGGAGCATTGCACAAACCAAAAGGCATAACGTTGAACTCAAAGAGACCATCTGGTGTTACGAAGGCCGTCTTCTCTTTATCTGAGGGATGCATAGGAATTTGCCAATACCCAGAACGCAAGTCCACAGAAGAAAAATAGGAGGCAGAATGCAGGCAGTCCACGGCGTCATCTATACGTGGCAAAGGGTAGACGTCTTTTTTTGTGATGGCATTTAGGCGACGATAGTCTACGCAGAATCTCCATGAATTATCCTTTTTCCTCACTAGAATGACAGGAGCTGCCCATGGACTACACGATTCTTGTATGACGCCCTTCTTTAGCATGTCTTCAACTTGCTCAGCGATGACTTTCCTTTCGGAAGGCGAGACACGATAGGGCTTCTGGCGTATTGGTGGTGCTTGGCCTGTATAGATGCGGTGTTGCGTACGTGAAGACGGTGGCGTAACGGTAGACGTCTCGTCTTGGGCAAAGTCAAAGACTGAGGCGTAGCGTGTGATCACCTCCTGCAGCAGCGACCGTTCAGTTGATGGAAGTGACTTGTTAATCATACGGTCAATGCTGGCAGAATAGTCGCGGTACGAGTTGGCGTGGGGTTTCTTTACATCCACCGACAGTTGGAGTGACCGTATGGTAAGAGTACTTTGCTCTTGAAAGCTTGCCAATTTAAGTCCTGCAGGCAGATATATGGGCTGCGCGGAAACGTTCACAGTCCACAAATCGGCACAACCATCGACGATGAGCACGAGGCAACGAGGCACGATAACGT